GGGGGGGAGACAAACAGGATGCATGCTGACTGACAAACGCTGTAAGGAAATTAACAGAGAGGTGGGAGGGGTAATTTAGGAGGGCCCTTTTAGCCCCGGGGGTGGGGGGGGTCGGGGCAGGTCTTTCTGGGGAGGTGACACCTGAAGAGGGAGAAGGAGCTAGCCAGGAGATGAGTGGAAGGAAGAGAATCCAGACAGAAGGAGCAGCAAGTACAAGGCCCTGAGGTGTAGAGGAATTTGGCAAGTTCCGACATAAAGCGGCCCATTTGTCTCGAGCGTGATGAACTTGGAGGAGAGGGATGGGGTTGAAAAGTTTACTCCTGTCCCGTCACTCCCCCTTCTCACCTACTCCCCGCTGCCCTCCTGTGCCCGCCATGCTCTTCCCAGGATACTGGCCGGTACCCTGCCTACAAAGAGATGGTTTCTGAGTACTGCTGGCTGGACCGATGTAAGTGGCTCAGGCCCCTGCGTTGGAGGGAAAGGGCTGAGGCCCGAGGGTGCGTGGGAGCCTCTGAGGAATAATGGGGCAGGAGGAGCAACACCTGCTTGGGACTTCCCCACCGCCCAGAGACATTTCCGGGCTCCCCTCTGAGAAGCTGCGGGTTCAGTTCCCAGCTCTCCTTGGCTCTGGAGTCCTGGGGCAGGGTCAGGGGGGCTGGTGAATGGAGGAGAAGTGACTTGGCTAAGGTCTCTCAACAAGTCAGTGGCAGGACTGCTGAGCAGCTGGTTCCCCAGAGCCCCGCGCTTCCAGCCTTGGCTGCTAGCCGACACTCACCCACCCCCACACCCAAGGTGCTGTGCGACCCTGGCAGGGCCCTGAGGCCAGCGGCCTTCCCCTGAGATGCCCCTGCCTTCCCCACTGCCTGCAGTGAGCAACGGGTCGCTGCGGCAGCTGTCCCCCGCCTCGGAGAGCAGCTCGAGCGGCTCCTCCTATGCCTCCAGCGCCCCCTGCAGCTCGGCCGAGGGCTCCCTGCCCTCCCAGCGCCTGGATGGAGGCCTGGGGCTTGACGAGCCGCACAGTCGGGGCCCAGGCTGGGGGCGGGTGGACACAGCCATGCAGACGGAGCCGGACGTGGGCGGCCGCGTGGAGACCTGGTGCAGTGTGAGGCCCACCGTCATCCTCAGGGACACAGCCATCCGCTCCGACGGCCCCCGGCCCGCCCGCCGCCTGGATTCTGCGCTCTCCGAGTCCCCTAAGACTGCTCTGCTGCTGGCCCTGAGCCGACCCCGGCCCCCCATCACAAGGTCCCAGAGCCACCTGACCTTGTGGGGTATGTAGGGAAGGGGCGGCCGATGTTCTCTCCAAAGCTCCCGGTCCAACACCTGCCTCACACCCAGTCCTGGGCCCCAAACCTCCCTTGGCTCTAGGCCTTGACTCGGCCTCCGTTCCAGCCCCAGAATGCACTCAGACGCTGCTCTGGGCCCCATTTTAAACTGGCCCTGGGCCCCAAACCCACCCTCAGATCTAGTCCCAGCTCCTGTCGGCTTTGGGCCCCACACCAGCCCTAATCCATCCCCGCCACCCTACACACACAGACACACACACCCCGGCCCTCTTGGAGGGTCCTCACTGAGCTGGAGCTGTGGGTGGGGGAGAGGTGGAAAGTCGAAGGAGGAAGCCCACTTATCTCCACCCCCACCTCCCCACAAGGCTGGAGGTCCTGTCTGCCCCCTACTGTCCCTCCTCCCTGGCTCTCCTCACACCCCTGCCCCTCAGCCTTCCCTCTGCCCACTGCTCCAACGCCCCCGGGTGCTCCCTCATGTCTGCAGAGGAGAAGAAGCAGCGGAAGAAGGAGAAGTTGGGGTCCTCCGGGGAAAAGGGGGCCCTGCAGCGCTCCAAGACACTGATGAACCTCTTCTTCAAGGGAGGGTGGCAGGGCTGGCTGGCAGGGCATGGGCACAGAGAGGCCTGGACGCTGGACGGAGGGAGCCCGGCCAAGCCCCGCCCTCGCCTAGACCTGGAGAAAGGTAAGCACCGGCCGATGAGACCAGGAGGAAGGAGGTACAGCCCATTTGGCATCCAGCGGCTCTGGGTTTCAATCCCACGCTGCCTTTTCCTAGCTAGGAGGAACAACTCGCCCCCATAAGCCTGTTTCCTCGTGAGTAAAGTGAGAGTAATGATACCTGTTTCTTTAGGAATGGTGAGGAGTAAGTGAATGGATGTATGTAAATCACTCCAGGACATTGTCTGGCATACAGAAGGTACCAGAAGGTACCAGAAGATGTAGTGGTCATCGTTAAACTCTCTCATCTCCCCACTTTACAGAAAGGAAAACTGATAGAGCTACAGCCTAGCAAGGAAGTTGAAGGGCTTGGGTCAGATCTCTGTGCTGGTGCTGAGGTGGGTAGGGCACTCCTCTCCTGGAATATTTGGCTTCACCTCCCCTGGCCAGTGCTCCACAGGCCCTACACAGTTCTAGCACCATCCCTGAGTAAGGCCAGCTCTAGATCAGGGCCCAAGCAGAAAGGCCTGGGCAGGCTTCACTTCTGTCAGGGGCTTCCCATGGACCCTCAGAGAGGCCTCTCGTCTCTCAGGTGAGGCTCCAAGACTGGACCAAGAGTGGATGAGTTAAGACTCTCAGGGTTGCACGTGACAGAAACCCAACTCAAATTAGCTTTAAAAAACACTCCTTGGCTCAGCTACTGATTTGAGTGGGTCTAAAGGTTTGAACAATCTCATCAGACATCTGCCCCCTTCCTCTTTAGTTCCCCTTTCCCCTGGGTTGGCTTCGTTATCATGCAGGTTTTGCCCACTCAGAGGGAAGATGGCCATTCTCGCTTAGCAACCCAGGGACAGGAGAGCTTCTTAAAGAGTTCCAGCTGAAGTTCCAGGCTCTCATTGGCCCAGCTGGGTCACATGCCCAACAGATGGCTGTGCCGGGGAAAGGCCAGTGGTGCCTTCCTGGGCCAGCCTGGGTCATGGGCTCACCCTGGAGCCCATGCACTGAGAATGGAGATCCCCAGGTGAAATTGGGGTGCTGTTTGCAGAGGGAGAGTGGATGTTGGGTAGGCAAAAACGACCAGAGGGTGAGGAGCTGGACCCTGCCCCTTCTGGGGGGCCAAGGTGAGAGTCCCATGGGAGAGACAATCTCTTCAGCTTAGGCCAGGTCAGCCCCACTTCCTCAACCCATCTCTTTTTCCACAGGCCCCAGGGCCCTGCTCTCACCTGATGCTCGTCCTATCCCTCTGGCCACTCCTCTCTCTCCTCCAAAGGCTCCTCTTTTTTTCTCTGTCCCCTGAAGGTAGGTGCTGCCCCAAGCTTCGTTCTTGGGGTTCCTCCCTCCATATATTTGCTTCTAAATGAATCTCCACAAGCAGAACTCACACGGCACCCTCTCTTGATCCAAAACCTTCACTGACTCCCCACTGCCTATGAATGAAGTCCCCAGTTGGGCATAGCCTTACAAGACCTTCGTGGCCTGGCCTCTTGCCTCGCCATGCCACCTCCTTCCAGCCTAAACTCTTCATTCCCGCTAGTGATCTAGCCGTCCCTGAGCCCTCCCAAGCCCCATGTTCAGACTGGGAGCCAGGGCCCACAGCTGAGCCTTTCTTTTTCATAGCAGGGGCAGTGGGGCCTGTGCAGAAGTTTGTCACCTGGAGACTGAGACGCGGTAATTCATGCATCTCTTTAGCAAGGCCTGGTTGACAGCAGAGCTGCAGATGGGGTGCATGTTGAGGGGCAGCTAAGGGGCTTTGGGCTACACTCAGTTGGGGTCATGCATGGGGGATTGGGTGCAAATTGGGGGCAGCTAAAAGAATTGGACTAAGCTTACCAGGAGAGACAGGGCTGCAGACAGATATTGGGGTGCATTTTTGAGGACTGGGTACTCGATGGGGCTCCCAAAGGCAGATTTTGGGGAGGTGAGGGAGCCTGTGCCAGGACCCCATTGAGTACTATGACTGTGAATGTTCGGGGGGCCCAGGGGGCACCGGGCTAGGACATCATTAAGGAAGAGCCTAGTATAGGGGGTCTGTGTTGGGGGCCAAAGGGTCTAGAGTGGAGCTCCCTTGTTGGGCAGATTGCTATGGGAGACGTCGGTGGGGAGATTCTGGGCTAGGCTGGGATTCTGTCAGTGGCACCTAGGCCTCTCAGCTGACCTGTTCTGGGCTCTGACCCCATTGAGAGAAGCCCCTGCCTCCTCCCCTGACGGCTCCTGGCTCCTTTATCATATGCCTTCGCTCCTTCCCTGCAGAGCGGGAGCGGGGCCCGACCCTGCTCTCTGCTAGGTCCGGGGGCTCCTCCAGCCAGCTGCCCGACATGGCTGAGCAGGTGCAAGCCTGGGAGAGCCGACGGCCCCTTATCCAGGACTTGGCCCGACGGCTGCTGACTGACGACGAGGTGCTGGCAATCACCCGCCACTGCTCCCGGGTGAGCTTCCAGCCTGCCCCCAACTCCAGCACATGGTCACCCCATCACCCAGCCCCTCATTCATTCAGGCCACCGTCTCTGGCCAGTATCTGGGCTCGAGGCCCTGAGGCCAGAGGTTGGGAAAAGCAGAGGTCACTCCCGTTCCTGTCTCACACACACACACACACACACACACACACCCACCCACCCACACACACACACACACTGAGCTCACAGACAGGAGAGGGACATGCAGTAACTAGAACCTAAACACCCATAGCGGCAAATTGTGTGAAATGCTGTGAAAGAAAAGAATAGGAGAAAATAACCCAAGAGGTACAAATTAGGTGGTGTGGTCTAGGAGGGCCTCCTTGAGGAGGTGATGTTTCAGCTAAGGAGAGAAGGAGCCGGACAGGTGATGAGTGGGGGCACATGAGTCTCTGTGGTCACCCCCTGAGCTCTCCTCTAAACCCCAACCTTCTCCCCTGACTCCCTGAGTCAGCCCCCAGGCCCGGCCTCATGCCAGGCCCCCTCCCCTGTTACCTAAGTAAGTAATCCTTTGTCACCCCCCACACACCCCAAGCTTCCCCCGACGTCTGCTCTGTTGTTCTGTTTCCTTCTACTTCAAACAGGAAGTAGGGCTCCAGGGTGGGGCGCAAGTTAGATGTGAGGGAGTCCTTGTGGCCTGGGTGTTGGGGAGGTTGTGGGAGGCACAGGTCTGGGGTCTGATCCTCCAGGGAGGTCTGAAGGCCCCCTGCTCTCCTCCTGCCTCAGAGCCCCCGGGTTTCCTGCGCTGGGGTCCCCGTGGAGTGCTGGCTTCAGTGCACATGCGAGCTTGCGTGCAAGGACAAGCTGAGGGGCTCCAGGAAGCCGTTTGTGATCCCCCCATGGCCTCAGCCCGGTCGGGGCGGGGCTGTGTTGTTTGTCTGTGTGATGTGTACATCTGTGTGTCTGTGGGCACCTGGGTTTGTCATCTGTGTGATCGACCCGTGTGCGTGCGTCTAGATACGGCACGCGTGTATCACCTGGAGACTGAGGCACAGTGATTCATGCATCCCTTTACCAAGGCCTGGTTGACAGCAGAGCTGCAGATGGGGTGCATGTTGGGGGGCAGCTAAGGGCCTTTGGGCTAAACTCTGTGTCATCATGCTCAACCCTGAGTGCTAAGTGGGGTCCCCAGCACCAGCCTCCGTGAGCTTGCAACTCTGGGATCTGGCCATTAGGTGGCGCGCTGTGCCCGTTTCTTGGATCAGCTCCTTTTCCATCAGCCCTCCGTTCCTCCCACCCTGTCCAAGCCGGGACCACCTCTCACGGCACCCCCACGAAACCTGCATGCCACCCAAACCTGACCCCCACCTCACCCGCACCAAGAGATCACACCCTCTGTGGTGGAGCTCTGGCCGGGATGATTGGAAAATCTCCCCTAGTGACTCAGATGTGTGGCCTCAAACCCCAGGCCTCCTTCCCTCTCTGAGCCATCTCTCCACCGCCGCCAGACCAGGCTTTAGAAAGCCCCCCTTGGATCACTTTACACTCCCCAAGCCCCTGTGCAATCTCTTACCTTTGGCGGAACAGAGTACATGTTTCTAATGCTCACATTCAAGGCCTTCCCTGCTTCGACTCCCCCAGCCACCAACCTCAGCTCTCCCGCGGTCGCCACATCACCACATGGTCATCTTCTGCTGGTCACCGCCCAGGGTTATACAGGTGATGAACCTCCCGACTCTGGGGCACCACTCACACCGGAGTCCCCACCTATGCAGCCTACGTGGAGGCCCTTCTTGTACCCCACGGTCAGGCTGAACTTCTGTCTACCCGCTATTCCACCCCACCCCGGAGCACTTTCCTCCCCATACTCATGCTGTCGCCTGCATTTATGCCTAAGAGTAAATGTCAATGAAACAAACATACCAAGAGGGGTCTGTGTAAATGTCGCCGCCTCCAAGAAGCCGATTCCGGTCTTGGTGCGCTCCTCGGAGACTCCCTCTGCCTCGCTGCCAGTGGTTTGTCATTCCCTGGGGCACGTGGCTCGCTCTGCCCCTCGTTTCCCACTAGACTGACTTCTGAAGGATCTGGAACAGGGTCTTCTTCATTGTGCCCCCACTGCCCAGTACAGGGCGTGGCACTTAGTAGGTGCTACCTGCGGGTTTGTAGCCTTGAAACGTGTACATATGCGACTGATTCTGTGCAATTACAGATCTCTCGCTCCAGACAAAAGGGGTTGTATTTTGGACACGTGTGTGTGTGTGTGTGTGTGTGTGTGTGTGTGAGTCCCTGTAACTTTGTGTGTGGTTTAGGGCCACATAGTTTATATTTTATTTCCCGATATTTACGAATGTCTCACTCTGGCCACCAGGGCTTGCTGTGTCTCTGTGTCTATTCCTGTCCAGGATGGTGTGTGTGAGTGTCTGTGTGTGTGTATCACCATGTGATTGTGTGTATCTCCATTTCACCACCAGGGGGCGGTGTGCTGTCCAAATAGGGTGGCTCCCAGCGTTCAGTTTACGGGTTTGTGTGCGTGGGTGGGGTGTGGCTGGTGGCATCCGGGCAGTGCCAGGCAGAAGGGCCTCCATGCCCCGGGGGACTGACTGGAGAGGCTTTCTGTCGAGCCACCCCTTCCCCAAGGTCCCCCGTTCCAGCGCCGAACAAAGCCTAATTGGTAGGTCTCTGTGCAGACATATGCTGGGCCAGCCAGGCCCACAGCCTAGCGTTTGGCTCCAATTCCTTCCTTCTGCCTGGGAGGTGGGGGCGGGGAGGAGAGTCGGCTCCCTGCACACCCTTTTCCGGCACCAGAGCTCGCAAGAGCCAGACTTCTCAGGTTCCAATCCCTCTTCACACTTCCTTATCTGTGTGGCCTTGGCCAAAGTCCTCTCTGAGCCTCAGTTTCCTCATTCGTAAAACGAGAATAATGAACGTCATCGCACAGGGTTGCTAAACGAGAGACTGTATGTAAAAGGCTTACAAATGCTGCTACCGGGGCTGTTATAGGTCTGTTACGACAACTGCAGGCTTCCCCCTAGTCACCGACATCCCCCCATGCCGGGGACAGCCTGGGGATGCGGAGGAGCTTTCCTAAACGTGGGGAACCGCACATGCGCAAGCAGCCCCCCCCCCCAGCTCTGGATGTCCTCACCGCTGTGTGACCCGCGGCGCCTCTCTCCGCAGTACGTGCACGAGGGCGGTGTGGAGGACCTCGTGAGGCCCCTGCTGGCCATTCTGGACAGGCCCGCGAAGCTGCTGCTACTGAGGGACATCAGGTGGGGTGGGGGCTGTGGGGAGGGTTTGGGGGGCAGAAAGGGGACCTCTGAGAACTCCCCCCACTGTCACCCCCAGAACTGTGCCCCTGCCCACCCCCTGTCTCTCGACCTCCCCCAGGAGCGTGGTGGCCCCCACCGACCTCGGCCGCTTCGACAGCATGGTGATGCCCGTGGAGCTGGAGGCTTTTGAGGCCCTTAAGAGCCGGGCAGGTCAGCAGCTGGGGGTAGGACGTGTAGATCCTGAGCCCCAGGTGGGGATGGGAGTGGGGCCTCCCGGGGGGAGACGGGGCAGAGATGGCCTTCAGCTGGGTCCATCAGGGAGCCCGGCAGGGGCCCCGCCTCTGACGGGGTCTCCTCTCCCAGTAGTACGGCCTCCTGCCTTGCGACCAGCCCGGCAGGACACACCGCCCAAGCGTCACCTCATCACGCCTGTGCCTGGTCAGTCAGAGTCCCGGAGCCGGGGGAGGGGGCACATTGGGGAAGGGAGAACGGGCCCTCCGTCCCTACCCCCCACAGAGGGTGTCGTGGCTTCCGAAGGCCGGCTGGTTCCCTGAAGGAAATCCTTGTCCACCGCAGCCACGTTTATCACATCCACTCACCCCCTGTACTATTATTTACTTAATAATTGGTTTTAAACCCACTCACTTTTTTTTTTTAATTTTTTTATTCTTATGTTAATCCCCATACATTACATCATTAGTTTTAGATGTAGTGTTCCATGATTCATTGTTTGTGCATAACACCCAGTGCTCCATGCAGAACGTGCCCTCCTCAATACCCATCACCAGGCTAACCCATCCTCCCACCCCCCTCCCCTCTAGAACCCTCAGTTTATTTCTCAGAGTCCGTCGTCTCTCATGATAAACCCAGTCACTTTTTAAATCTACTCTCATTCTATCCAATAATCTCTGAGAAATTACGTTTGGTGTGTGAGTGCTATTTTTTCTGAGACACATATTGCCATAGAAAACTTTAAAGTTCTGTATCACCCTGGAACCCAGGCAGAGTCCCTCACTGCGCGCACAACCACCAGAGGGCCTGAGCAAACCCAAGCTTGGGTCTCATGGGCCCTGCACCGACGAAGGCGAGGATTGGGGCCTGGCAAGGTGGTCCGGGCTGGTGAGGACGGGCAGCCTGACCTTGGCCCCCTTCCCCAGACAGACGTGGAGGTTTCTACCTGCTGCCTGTGAACGGCTTCTCGGAGGAGGAAGACGATGGGGAACTGAGGGAGCGGCTGGGGGGCCTCCAGCTCTCCCTGGGTGCCTCTGCTCCCCGCCACCCTCATAAAGGGATCCCCCCTCTCCAAGACGTGCCAGTAGACGCCTTCGCCCCACACCGAAGCTCCTGCACACCCCCTCCCCAGCCACCCCCCGTCGCTCCCCGGCCCCCAAGGCCTAACTGGCTGCTGACAGAACCCCTGACCCCAGAGGACCCTCGGCAGGGCCAGAGCCAGAGGCAGAGCCAGGGCCCTGCCCAGAGCCACAGCCGCAGCCGGGGTCGAGGCAAGTCCCCCGGACGCAGGCGCTCCCCATCCCCAGCGCCTGTCCCCACCCCCAGCATGGCCAGCGGGCGCTACCACAAGCCTCGGAAGGCCAGGCCCCCTCTGCCACAACCTGTGGATGAGCAGGCAGCCAAGGCGGGGGGCTGTCAAGGCCCCTCCGAGAATGGAACTGGCGGGACAGCCAGGGAGGCAGCCAAGAAGGCCCCTGGTGGGGAGCTGAGGACAGTCACGCTGTCCAAGATGAAGCAGTCCTTGGGTGAGTGCAGGTGGGACTAGGCCTGGCAGGTGGGGCTCTTGGGTTTGGGTGAGGTTTCTGGGCTTGGTTTTGGGGTACAACTAGGGGGCCTGGGCTTAGGAAAAGATTTGGATATGGGGGTCTATTTGGGAGGTTCTAGATTGGAGGGGGTGGGAACTAGAGGATTTTTGGAGTCGAGGACCGAGTAGGAACAGAATCTGGGGATTTGGGAGAAGTCGGGGCCTGGACTTGGTGTTGGGGTGCTGGGTTTCTTCTGGGAGCTCTGGGTTGAGGGGTGTGGCTGCATGCTCATCCGGTGTTTTTCTCTCACTAGGCATCAGCATTTCTGGGGGCATTGAGTCCAAGGTGCAGCCCATGGTGAAGATAGAAAAGATCTTTCCGGGGGGGGCTGCCTTCCTCAGTGGGGCCCTGCAGGTGGGTGAAGAGTACCCAAGCCCACTCCCGAGGTCCAGAGCTGAATTCTGGTGGGGGTGGGGCCGGAACATACTCATCTTCCAGCCAGACAGGTTTAGACCAGGTCCTGGGAGGAGGCTTGGGTGCAGGGGGGTCAGGCCTGCAAGATGAACAAGCCTAGGGAGAAATCTGTCCCCTCATGCCAGCCTGGGCCTGAGAGTGGCCCATCATGTTCCACCCCTAGCCCCAAGGGACAAAGGGCCATTGTCTGTGCCTCACCCTGCCCCCCACAGCTCCAGGCACAAAAGTCCCATTGTCCATCCCCTCCACCCAGATGAGGAGGAGTGTCCTAGGTGGTGGAGGTGAGAGGTTGGGTGGTGGGATGACCTGAGAAGGGAGGGCTGTGATTTTCCCACCCCCATCCCAGGCTGGCTTCGAGCTTGTGGCAGTGGATGGAGAGAGCCTGGAGCAGGTGACCCACCAGCGAGCAGTAGATACCATCCGCCGAGCTTATCGAAACAAGGCTCGGGAGCCCATGGAGCTTGTGGTCAGGGTCCCCGGGACCAGTCCACTACCCTTACCCCCTGACTTGTCAGCCCTCACCAATCAGGGCCTTCCTGCTGACCATTCCCCTGCCCGCTGACCCCTTGATGGTACTCCTTCCCTCCCACTGCCTCCCAGAACCTCCCATTAATGCTCTGCCCACCAATATCCAGATTCCTCCCACCGACGCCAGGCTCCTCCATCGGACCGACAGCCCAGTCCCTTCTCTAGCCCTCCAGACTCCTGATACTAACCCCAGACTCTCCCCACCTATGCTATGACTCTTCCCACTGACTTGAGATCCTCCCACTGACTCTCAGGACCCTCCTGCTGTCTCCCAGACCTCACCTACTAACCTCCTCGGGACTTAGGAACCTCCCCCTCTTGCTTGACTTGCCTCCTCCCAAAGCTCCCCATTTTCTTCCCTCTCCGGCTATCACTAAGGCTCTGCCCTTTCCAGATAAACTTGGTGTCAAGGACAAGGTGCTCCTGGGTAGCCTGTGTCACCCGCTCACTGCCCCCAATCTGCCAGGACAGGGAGAGGTTGGGAGAAAGCCAAGGTCTGGCACTTGGGATTGGTGGGCACTTTCTCATGATGTCCCCTTTAATGCCCCCAAGCACTGAGGGACATGGGCTCTCAACAGGGCCCTGAAGGGTCATTGCACCCATCCCCCAGCCCCAAGCAGTGTTCTGTGCAAAGGACAGGATGGAAGGCTTTTCTAGTTTCTCAAACCCTGAGAGACCATTTCATGTCGTGGTCCGCTAGGACCTCACACTTTCTACTGGATTTGTCCTTCCCCCATCACTCTTTCCCTCCCCAAGATCCCTACGAGGGGTAGGGGATTAGCCAGCAAATTGAGGGGGCCTGGGGGGAGGGGTCAAAGAAGTTCCCATAATCTCTACCTAGCACACTCATCTTTTTTTTAAAAACAAAAGATTTTTTAATTTTTTTCTTTGGGTTTGTACAAGAAATTTACAGTGTGGAAAAATATACAAGTGAAAACGAGGCCATAAACTTGGGTGTGGGGAGGGGCCACTTGGTCACAAACACAAATAAACAAGACAATGCTGAGTTCTTCCTTTGGTCTGACTACAGCCCCCTTGTCCCAGGAGAGAGGCTGCAGGGCTGGAGCCTGGGGGTCACATCCCAGTCCCAGCCCTGGCCCCCGACACGGGCAGGGTGGGGGCAGGCACATCTGGGGCAGCTGGCGCTGTCTGGCTCTCTCTGGCTTTGGGGTAGGGGAGAGTGTGGAAACGAAGGCGCCCCCCCCTCCTCCTCCCAGCCCCCTGGCGTCTGGGATGAATGCGCTTGGCAGAGTGGCAATGGCAGAAGGGGGGTGAAATGGGTCAAGCGAGCAGGAGCCTCTGCATGACCGTGAAACGGGGACCTTCAAGGAGTCTGATCTTGCTCATCCAAGTCGCAGGGCCGCCCCAAGGTCTTGGCAGAGGCCCAGAGGCCTGGATCCCAGGGGACGAGTGGTTCTGGGGCCCTCAAGACTTTGGGGACCCCCGTGGACCTGAGGCTCCCGCCACCTCCCCCCTTCGGCAGAGCTCCCCGCAGATCTGGGATGCCAAGGGCCCTAGATTTCGGTGGCGGTGATCTCCTCCAGGCAGATGCAGGGGGCCGGCTCGGCCAGGCCCAGCTCGGCGAGCTCCCGGGCCTCCAGCTCCAGGCTCAGCTGCCGCAGCTCCTGCTCCAGCTGCCGGTTGCGCCGGTACATCTGGATGTAGTTGTGCTGCAGCTGCTTCTGGTAGCGGATCACCTGCTCCTTCTCCGCCTGCCAGGCCAGCCGCTCCCCCTCGAAGCTGTCCCGCTGCTCCTCACCCCGCCGCCGCTCCCGCTGCAGCTCTGCCCGCAGCCGCTCCACCTGGGCGCGCAGGCTGCTCCCGACCCCGGCGGCCGCCCGCTGCGCCTTGGCCTCATCGCTCTCTGCCAGGAGGAATGGGTCGGCGGCGGCAGGTGACCCGGGGGCTTCCCGGAGTCCGGCCGCCTCGCTGTCCAGCTGGCCAGCTTTCTCTCGGAGCCGCTCGGCCTCCCGGCGGTGCTGCTGCAGCTCCTGGGAACAGGCCTCCAGCTCCAGCTCCCGAGCCCGGGCCGCCTCCTGCAGGCCCCGCGCCCGGCCCTCACTGGCCCGGAGCGCGCCTCGGGCCTCTCGCAGCGCCACCCGCAGGGCCACCAGCTCGCTGCCCTTCTGCACCAGCTCTGCCTGGGACTCCTTGAGCTGCTGCTTCAGCAGGGAGATCTCACCTGACTTCTGGCACACCTAGGGGTGGGAGGGGGCCGGGGAGGGGGGTGAGAAGGCTTCTCCCAGAGGGCCAGGCCCTGAGATCACACGGGGTGTTTGGGGAGAGCTTGTTTGATCGTGACACGCACGACACGGATGGAGACACTGAGGCGAGCCCGGTGACACGTCCAAGGCCACATATAAGCTAGTAAGCGGCCGACGTAAAACACAGACCCAGATCTTTTTCCTTCAAAGCAGGTGACTTTAAACCATCACAAAGGCCCAGGACTGGCTGGTGGCAGGTTTTGCAGGACTGGGAGCCACTGAGGGCAGTGACCGCACTTCCACCGGGAGGCGCCACGGCGTTTCGGTTAAAAGCGCAGATGATGGAGCCACAGGCCTGAGTTCAAATCTCAGCTCTGCCACTGCCTAATCGTAATTCTGGGCTCCAGCCTTCCTCATCTCAAAAATGGGGGTGTTAACAATAGCCGCCTCCCAGGGCTGTTCTGAGAATCGGAAGATCCACTCTAAGTAACGGCTAGAAAGTTCTGGGCGCGTAGCAGGCTCTACATTCTTATTGGTCGGGAGGCAGTGGATGGGAAGGCCACTGGCTACGTGAGCACTCGACCCGAGCAACGAGGAGACCTAAAACGGGGGCACAAGGGGACCCCCTCCCCGCCCCAGGAAGGGAGGTCAGAGGGAGATCTTCATCTCCCGGAGGTGAGGATGGGGAGGACCTCTGCGAGTAGCAGGCTGGGTGGGGGGTGTTAATGGCCGGACCCCTGGGCCCAGGGCTCGTCCCAGGAGGCCCCGCTCCCCGCCCCTCCCGGCCTGGCCCACCTCCCACTTGGTCTCCTCGAGCCGTGGCCCGAGCTCCTGCTGCTCCCGCTCGAAGGTGGCACAGCGCCGCTCTAGCTGCTCCCGCTCCTGCAGCAGCTGCGCGAAGTCGTCCTGCAGCTGCCGCTTCTCATGCTGCAGCTGGAACACCTGCAGCTGGAGCAGCTGGTGGGCCCGCTGCGCCCGCTGGGCCTGGGCTGCGCTGTCGTCCCGTGGCGGCTCCCGCTCCCGCGGCCAGTGCCGCTGCCGCTCCTCATACGCCTGGGGACAGAAGGCAGACCTGGGTGCCCCCCGCCCACTGCTCCCAGGTCACCGACGGCTCTTGGCTGGGCTCGGGGACCGGAGACGCCATCCAACCACTCAAGAATAATTACGGTAACTCTAGTCACAACCACTTCTAGGGTTCTCGGGACAATGTCCATGATAGCAAACGCCCCTGCAGAAATTCCTAGGCGCCGGGCGTCATTCTAAGTGCTCCACAGCCTCTGCCTTACTTAATCCTCATCCGAACCCCAGGAGGCCAGACATGTGCCCATCTCTAGCTGAGGAGAGCGAGGCTCAGCCCCGTGAAGTGTCTCGCTCAAGTCTGAGGACAGCCAACGGCGGTGCTGGCCGGGACCCCTCACCACTCCGCAGGTGAAGCCCGACAGCTGGGCCTCACCTGCCGCCCCCCCGCCCCCGCCCCGGGCACACACGGGAGTGCTCCCTGGACTCCCGGCTCCTGCGGCTGTCCGGCCGGACCACCCCCACCATCACTGCTGCTGACCACACCTGGCACACGGTCACCTCACTCTCGTCCAGACTGTCCCGCAGCTGCTGCAGCTCTGCCTCACGGTCGTGGAGCTTTCCTTCCAGGACACAGTGCAGCAGGGCCTCATCCGAAGGGGGTGGAGGGGGTGGGGGCGGGGGTGGGGAGCGCTCCCCACAGGAGCTGCTGTCAGGCGAGGCCCGGGCACCACTGCCCAAGAGCCCCCCAGCCACACGGCCTCCCAGGGAGCCTGTGCTCTTGCTGGAGGAGGATCGGCCACTGTCCGAGTGGGAGGGCCCAGTAGGGGCCCCTCGGGCTGGCCCGGGCAGTGCCCCCCGCGCAGGGCCGTGGGAGGGCAGGTGCCCGCCTGGGGAGTGGCTGGCTGGCTCCGCACCCCCGGTGCTGTAGGTGGGCAGGCTGGACAGTGAGTTTCGGCCGGAGTCAGACAGTGTCCCCGATGGGCAGCCGCTGGTCCAGCCACTCAGTGCCAGGGGTTTGTCAGCAGCCGAGGAGGAGGAGGAGGACGAGGACGAGGCAGGGCCCCCAAACAGCTGTGTCAGGCTGCCCTGGCTCCCAGACAGTCCGGCAGCCCGAGGACCCAGGAAGCTAGGTAGGGATGGTGCCCCTCGAGGTTTGGGCAGCACCGGCTTGAAGGCTGTTGGGCGGATCAGGATTTTCTCCATGTTCTGAAATGAGATGCCACGTGACACTGGGGATGAGCTGCCCAATCTTTCAAAGCCCTTATCATACTCCCTGCCCTCCCATCTGGGGTCCCCAATCCCCACACATTAATACTAATTGCTACCACCGCTGAGGGCCTCCTGATACCCTTTATGGCAAGCCACTTAAAAGGTTCACCGCTAATCATTACAACAGCCACACGAGCAAAATATTATCACTGTGCCCGTTTTACAGATGAGCAAATGGAGGCTCAGCAAAGTTAAAGGCCTCGTTCAGAGTCAGATGCGTAGCTGTCGCACAGTTACAGGAGTCTGAGCAGCTCACCTTTACTGAGCACGTGTTGTGGGACAGGCACTAGGCTCAACACTGACATACACTGTGTGATGGGATGCTCCCGACCATCTCAGGAGAGCTGACCTGGTGCCTCCATGTTGCAGATACAGAACCTCTGGCTCAGAAAGGCTAAGTGACTTCCCTGAGCTCATGCAGCTGGAATGAGGCAGAGCTGGGATTAGAACCCAGGTCTGGTGAATCTGCAGCCCACATTCTCTCCTCTAAATCGGCCCCCAAATTCCAGCTTCTTCAGGGGGCTCCTGATTCCACCCAGGCCCCAAAGGAAGGGCTGGTCCTTACCTTCTCCAGCTTTCCAGAGACAGGGATGAGCTTGGGTGGGGGGCCGCGGAGATGGGCATTGCGTGCCCGCTGTTCTCGGGCATCCTCAATGTCACTGCTCGGGCTGGAGGGTGACTCTGTCCGGAAGTCCTCGTTGATGTAGGTGAAGCTGGTGCCAGGGACGGTCTTCCGAGGGGGCACAGCTGGGCACAGCGGCTCCTGTGCCTCATAGCCACCCCGGAGCAGGCCATCCTGCTGGCGGAAGAAGGTGGGCCCAGGGGGGCCATGGTGGCGGGGAGGAGCTGGCCCCCCAGGGCAGGGCCGGCCTGAGATGAGGCTGCTCACGCTGCCCATGGCTGGAGCTTGTGGGGCAGTGGTGGCCTCAGGAGCGGGCTCGAGTGGCACTGGCAGAGTCTGCACAATGGCCATGGCGACAGAGGCTCAGGCCTGGCCAAGGGCCTCCGGGGGAACCTGTGAGCAGGGCAGTGGCGTCAGAGTCCCTTCACCTTGAGGCCCCTCCCTATACAAGTGCCCGAGTCCCTCTCCTGACCCCTTGTCCCACGTCAAACAGCCTCCTGAGATCGGTACAAGCCCTGATCCCCGAAGGCTCCTTCTCCAAGCACTGGCATGAAACTCGGGTCTTCCTGGGATCCAGATCACCGTCCAACTCTGGTCTGAGCAGTGCTAAGGGCTGACCTTACCAAGCAAGGAAGATGAGGGGAAGGGAGGCCTGCTGGTGACGCAGTGCCCCGCCCAAACCTGCATCCCTCACAGAATTCGGGACTCAAGTTTAGGAGGGAGTTCTCTACCAGCTCCCAGCACAGGTTTCTGGTCCCCTGGGACAGGTGGCCTCATTAGAGGGCACTTGGGGCAGAGGCAACCTCAGGGACACAGTCAGCAACTCAGATGGTAATTAGGGAATAAAGAGCCAAGGCCAGGCAGCGCCCAGCCTCCCCCAGCTGGGCCTGTTTCTCCCAGACGGAGAGGCGGCAAGGATGGAGCCGGCCAAACAAGAAACCCAGAGCTTTTAGGGAGCCCACACGTGCCCTCTGGGGTCTCCTGCCTTCTAGAGGTGGATGCGGGCTCCTGCTTGCTTCCATGACAACTCCGAGCCTTACCACACCCAATCAGTCTGGCCTAAAGGAGCCTACACAGGCCTGCGGCCAACCTCTGGTTCTGTGAAACCATCCGGCTTTAGACAGTCTCCAGAGTAGCCCCGAGGGGATGAGGGTGAAAGCCCCACCATCACCTCTGGCAGCTGCTCTCAGATCTCACTTCCCTGGAACCCAGGGAAGAGGGCTCCACCTCCCCAGGCTCTGCTCCTTCCTGGAAGGGGACAGCGAGTCTCCACCCTGAACTCCCTCCCCAGGCCTGAGGCCGAAGAGCAGGACTCAGGCATCTGCTGAAATCATCATGCAGAGTGGGGGCCAAGAAGTGGACAGAGAATTGCGTAGGAACAGGAGTTTGTGTCTGTACTTATTGGTGTGTGTGAGACTGTGCACAGGCGCGTGGAAATGCGTCTGTGAAAATGTGTGAAAACATCATGAATGCGCCTGTGTGAGTATATGTATGTTTGAATAGTTGTATCAGTACATTCCTATTATTCATGTGTGTGGATTAATATGTCATAAAAGAGTACGTGTGTGCTTCGGGATCCCTCAGAAAATACGCACAAGTAATAACTGCATATAGGATAAGTGAATTCGTGGTGTATGAGTGCAACTCTCTGAGTGTCTTTGGATAGATGTCCCTTCAGATACACGAGTTTATATGTTAACTCCCCCTGCATCTTACACGAGCATACGAACAGGAAAGTGAGTGTGCACAAGTGTGTACAGAGGAGTGTGTGTATGTGGATAGAGCATGTGTGAGAGTGGGTGGGAGCCTGGGTGGCAAGCAGGGCCAACTGGGTGAGCAGGAGCCTGGTTCTTGTCACTCACTGGAGTGTGGGGAAAGGAGAGACACATTATCTGACTCCTTTGGTCTATCCCCCTTCTTTCTTGCTTGTATTCCACTAGGCCCACCCTCCACCTCCCCGCTCGAGTCAAAGGACCCTGAGAACCAGGAAGGTATCCAGACTGAGGGTGGAGGAGCTAGGGCTTGGGACCTGGGGGAGAGCAGAGCGCACCCACCAAGTGCCAGCCCTGGGCTAAGCAGATGGCACACCCCATCTCCTGCCCTCTCCCACACCACTCCAGGGCACGGAGAAAGCTGTGGGGAAGGGGCTTCTTAGGGGGCAATGGAGGCTGGCACCTCTGTCTGCATTTGCCCACTTCAGTGAGCACTGAGAAAGTGAGAAGTAAGGGGAGGAGAGAGACAGACTCAGAGAAAGACAGGGACCCAAAAGACAAGAGACAAAGACTCAGAGAGGCCCCAGGGTCAGGCAGACAAGGAGACAGGCTGACCCAGTGAGTCTGGGCCCCTGAATCCCACGGAGCCAGAGGCCCCTAAACCCAGAAGAGATATAAAAACTGGGCCCTGAGAGCCAGACACTCAGGGAGCCAGAGCCAGGCCTCTGGAAAGCCAGGCCCAGCCAGCCGGGCTCCAAGAGCGGGAGCCCGAGAGAGAAGGAGGGGCAAGTGGAGGCTCCATTTTGAGAAATGCGTTGTGGCTGTAGGAAAGGGAACCCCTGGCTCTCCCCAGCACTCCCTGAGTAATCACTCTGGCCCAGCGCACACACACACACACACATACACACACACACACCCTTAGTGGGCTGGGGGCAGCCGAGCGCTGGGTTCAGCCAGGGTCCCGGGCAGGTCTGGCTAAGCTGAACTCCCACAGACCTGTTTTGGAGCTGAAGAGTTGGGGAAAGTCTCCCCCCACCAAACTCCAAAGACCAGTCAAACGGGATCAAGTCTGGGATCACGAGTTCCCATTCCGCGACAGGAAGCCGGAGCCCCCAACCCACCCTCCAGAGCAACCCCCCCCTTTCTCCGCTTCCATTAAGTGGGGTCGGCTGGGGGATGCCGCCTCCCCACCCGCCCTCCGCCGCGCAGAAGTTGGGGGCGCCCCCAGGTCGCCTCCCAGCCCCGGCCCCCCCTCACCTCCGCCGCGC